GGGGATTTCTCTTCTCTCAGTCCTTCTGAAAAACGAAGCAGCATTTGCTTCGACATGGCAATTGGCCCATGAGGCACGGCTGGATATAGGATGCACTAAAAATATATGTGACAAATGTAAACATTGACTTTACCAGGGTGGCAGCCTGCCTGCCAAGAAGCTTTGGCTCTGTGAGCCCAGCGGTCGTGGCGCTGGAAGGAAAAGGTGCTCTGGGCTGGCAGGGCAGCGGGAAGGACACTTTCTTCCTCCGGATTTTTTGTTTTGCTTTGTTTTTTAAAGCAAGTATTTTAAATTTCAACAGCTTCACACATCAAAATTGCAGCTTTTTGCTGATTGTGTTGTAGTAACCACATTTCAACAGGTAGGGGAAGAAAGAAAGAAGGGGGCAAAATAAGAACTGAAGAAAGAGGAAGGAACTGCAGAAGAGGGAAATGCCTCCGCTTCCTCCCTCCTCTGCTGATTGTTTGTTTGGGGTTTTTTAGACATGAAAGTTAACATAAGGATTAGGAAGGAGCTTGTCCGTCCCCTGCTTGCAGCCAGAGGCAGGCTCTGGGTCGTGGTGCTCCGGGAGCAGGGGACCGGGGCCGGTGACCGCGGTGCCACGTCAGCATCCTGTGTGCTCCTGCCCTGTGACTGCCGACAAAGGTGGCCATTGAGGGGCTGCAGTGCCTCCTCCGAGCAGTTGTGCTGTGGGAACGGGGCTGAAAGGGCCAGCTGGGCTCCATGCAGGCAGCTGATCGGGCACATGAGCCTGCTCGGCACTTCCCTTCCCTCCAGCTTCCCACCAGAAGGTCTGCAGGGCGCTGTGCGGGACGGCTGAGGCTGTGGTGTGCCAGGCAGGTGGGGGCCAGAAGTGCATATAAATGGGCTCCCTGGGTGAGCAAGCAATGTTTGCTTCATTTTTTGCTGTGTCTGACACAGCAGAGGACCATAAAGCTGCCCCTTCAGATGCTGCATACTCAGCTGCTCTTCTCTCTGTAGCTACTGGAAAGGGTGCATGGGGCTGCGAGCCCTTCGCTTAGTGTGCCCTATATGCTACATGTGAAAAATTTGGATGCACGAGGCCATTAAAGTCAATGGAAATATTCTGATGGCTTGAGGTAGAGAGGAGCTTGGACCTTGCTTTGCCACTGAAAAACCTCTGATGCCAGGGGCTGTTCTGGGCAGATGGCAGGCAGAGGAGCAGCTTGGCCAGAGCAGGGAGCTGGTTCTTGGGACCAATGTGGGTCCCAAGGAGGGGCCTGCAGCTCACTGAGGGTGAAATCGGAGCCTTGCACCCCTAAAAGGGGATCCTGAACTGTGCCCTGTGGGGCTCCAGGCCTGGAGCAAGCAAAGATGCTTTGTTATAGCAGGGCTGGTCCAAGGGCTGGGCTTGAGGCACGAAGTTTGGAGGGGACCACAGCAGCAGCACCTGCAGACCTCATGCCATACTGGTGGGGCACAGGCAGAGCACAACAGCCCCTCCTCAGGGACCTTTTGGCTCCTAACTGCCTTTTTTTAGGCAGGGAGTCTGAACTGGCCTGAAGCAGGAGAACTGATACGTCCCCCAAATGTTACCTACAGTCCTGCAAGGGCAGACTCTGGTTTTGCGTGTAGGAATGCTGAATTAAAAAGGATGAGCAAAAATCCCTAGCAGCCCTGCTTTCCTGCACCATGTCTATCATTCATACCCCGTAGCACTCCAGCTGCCCTGCAGAGACCTGGCACAGCCGCTTCATTCTGTGTCAGCCTTCACCTCCGATGCTAACAGGAAACAATCCACAAAGATCAGGCGCTTCAGTTTTGCTCCCCTGGGCCCCAAAATGAGAGCACACCCCTCCAAGCAGCCACAAAGCAAACAAATGGGCTTTTCCTCCACCCCTTGATTTTTTTGTCAGCTGAGGATGCAATAGCAGAATGCAGGAAAACGTAGCTGTTTATTTTCCTCCTTTGCAATTGCTAACTACAGACATCCCCTATGTGCAGCTCCAGGAGTGAACAAAATGATTCTGTTCAGACAGTCTCTGCTCCAGAGCATAAAGTTACTCAGCATTTGCAGCACCAGGCCATTGTAGATGTTTTTATTCTGTCTCTACTTTGCACTTAGACTGACATATTATGGATGACTCCAATTAACAGTGCATGAGCATAAACAATGCTTTACTCATACATTACAAATCGAAAGATTTTTTGTGTGTGTGCTTGCAAAAACGTATTCGTGTTCAGAATTTCTTTATGCAAAGCTGAAAGCACCTGAGCTCCAGGCCGGGGAGGTTTGGGGAGCGGGGTGGGGAGGAGCTGGCTGCACCATGCTGTGCAAACAAACTGCTGGTTTTGAAAGCAGACCTAGAGGAGTTTGCAAATGCATCTATTTAAGCAAGCAACCCATCTGCTACTACCAATAATGGATGCACAGACCAATTGGGTATTTGCTCAGCTCACAGGCCAATGAGTTTTGTGTATGTTACATGATTTGCACAAATCAATAGGTAGTGTAGACACACATGCCCACATCTGGAACACAAGCCATGAAGGCAGGGATTTGAACAGTGACCTAGTTAGCACCTAGCAGCGCCTGGATCGTCAGGGTGAAAATATAATATTTTTCTTCTTTTTAATGAACTGCTAGATTTTATTAGGCAGCCTGTACCAATGCATGTTTCATGAGGCTGCGTGACTCCTGCAGGATGCAGCTACCACAAGAACTGGGCTTGGAGCTGCTTCAGGTACCTGGCTGGCCAAGGAGGAAAGCTCCAAATCACACATGAATGCAGCACAGCTGGCTGAGGACCTGCCCCGCTCCCAGCACTGCCAAGTACGTGGCCGTGCCTTCCGATTCCAGCTGTGGAACTAGGGAAAGGAAAGCTTTATACAGGAAAAGAAAACAAGTTAGTCCCTTATGGGACATAACCACCCCCAACGACAGAAATATGTGTGGGCTTCTCTGAAAAGTGCTGTGTAGTGGGGAGCTATACTCGGAGCTCCTTGCAGAAAAGTAAGACTAGGGCTCGTCTCCTTGAGATGGAACTGGGGCTCTGGTGGCTGTGGCACACGTGGGTCCCATCCATGTGCTTCAGATTTCCTTAAACTGGCAGATGTGGAGCTCCTGAGCCCTTCAGGGTGTCCACTGTCCCCGTTTCCCATGTCCATCTCCCACCAGTTCCTTCTGTGGTGGCACCTCACATTCCAGAAGTTTCCTTTCTGCCAGAAATATTTGTAGAAATTATGCTTTATTATATATATATATTTACCACGCTTAGGAATGCATGCAGAAATTTCAAGGGGTCTGGGAGGTGTGTGTGGTGCATGTGTTTGCCCTGGAGCTTGATGGAGGGAGCTGCACTCCCCCAGCAAAACCCAGGAGCAGTTTCTGCAATACACTGGTGGGAAAGGTGGAGGCCTCAGACTTCGATTTTATGACCTTGAAGTGCCCAGAGGCTCAAACCCGTGACAAAAGTCTCGCTGGTCAAGGCAATTACTAAATAGGAGAAAGGAGGGTGGAACACGAACCTCTCCTCTCTCCAGATTACAAATGTAACAACCCGTGAGCTGCAATAATTCTGCAAAAGGTGCTCTCAGGAGTGTTTTTCCCAGTGAATGTAGTCATAAATAATAATAATAAAAAAAAATGCATGCGTGTATTTTACAAAGCAAGGGAAAATTTTCTTCCTCTTCAAGCCCATAGTCTGCAAATAATTTGTGAACAAGAGAAGCAGCTCCATCTATCTTGCGCTGTATTTGTTACAAATCATTTGCTCATGTGTAAATCTTCCTGCCAGGGCAGGAGCAGCAAATCCTCCTTCAGTCTTTGTCCTCTGAAAAACTTTCACTAAACATGAAAAATTGAATGAAAAAGTAGCAGGTGTGCAGGTGCGAGCCGGGATAGATGCATTCCCCGTGCCCTGAGTGAGTGTGAAGCTGCTGCTGGCTGTGGGGCTGGGTGTCTGCCTGGCACACAGGGCTGAACTGAAAGGGCTCGTCATTTTGCAGGAAAACAAAAGCCAAGCCTAAAAGGCCACCCCCAGTACCTGCTTCCATCCATAGCCTGCCTAAAGCAAGCAAGCAAATGGCCACTATCCATTTGAAATACATTAGAGCATCCCATCTGGAAAAAAATATCTAAATTTTTAAAGCTCACAGCAAGTCCCTAGATGGCAACACTGCTCTTTCTGACCCTGGTATAGTGTTGTGAGCCTTGTCGTGGTTGACAGATCTTTTAAAGCTCCTGCTTTGGAGATTATGTGATTAAGCGAGACCTTAAACTTCCACTCACAAACAAAAACGAGAAAAAGTATATGTGGTTAGTGCTGGTGGGGGCAAAGAACAGCTGAAAACTGTGGTTGCTGCAAGGATCTGCAATCTGATGGCAAATCAAAAGAACAACCAAAACTGCTGCGAATTTATCCAGCCAGGTGGCAAGCAGTAGGATGCAAGGAAATGGTTCTTAGTTTGCGCCAGGGGAGGGGTAGATTGGACATTTGGAAGAATTTCTTCATGGGGAGGATGGTCAAGTACTGGAATGGGCTGCCCACGGCTGTGGTGGAGCCCCCATCCCTGGGGGTGTTTAAGGGACATGACTGTGGCATTTCTATGTGGTACTGAAGGACAAGGCTTAGTGACAGGACTCAGCAGGTCGGGTTGATGGTTTGACTTGGTGATCTAGATGGCCTTTTCCAGCCTAGATGATTCTATGATTCTGTGGAAAGAAATAACAGGATTTTAAAGCCAAGTTCATGATATTGCAAGTCATGACTCATGAATCCTAAATGCTTTGAGCTGTCTGTGCAGCTGAAAACCCAGACAAGTAAAAACTGTCCCATCTGCAAGCTTGTCCCCTCTGCAAGCTCTCTGTGGGTGAGGAGCAGTTCTCCATCACTGCTCACAGAACGCGGCCCTGTGAACGTAATCCCAAGTGCAGACATAGGTTGGACAGTCAAGGAAAAAAAATGCCCACCCGACCCTGCTCCAGATATTTTCCTGGAAAAAACTATCAGAGACCTTAAGGATGAGTACACCTTTGATGTGAGTCCTGTTTCTCACACCTGTTCAATCTGTAGATCTAAGAAAGCTATTAGCATTTCGCTTTTAATCTGTGTTTGTTCACTGCTGAGTCTGTGCAGGTCTGCCCTGCCTGTGCACAGCCCTCACAGTGCTGCAGCTCCGCTTGCACGTACCCGTGAACGGCTCTTCTTTCGCTTAAATGCCAAACCGACTGAGAGGAGCAGCAATTTAGTTATGCCAGCGATAAGATACTTTTGCTCGTCTCTTGATTAGATGACTTTTCGAGCCAGCTAGCACAGTGCAAATTGTGAATTGCAAATATTATAATCAAATATACAGTTTGAGTTTCATCCTGAGTTAATTACCTGAGTCGTATACATCTGTTAGCTACGATAAATTACAGCAGAAATGGAGAATTTGATTGCAATATTCACTCTTTGGATTATCTGCAGGTCAAGTATTATTCATTGAAGAGATTCATGAATAATTTTGAATAACTGGACCAATATATTTAGAAACCAGACAATCTGCATACAGGGAGACAAAAAGCACCAAATAAATTATACATTGTGTCCTTTTCTTGCAGCTCTGCAAATGGATTTTGACTGCCTTATCACACTGCCGACTATATCTATTTTTTCCAATAAACCTCACATTTCTCTGCTGTATCGCTTACCAGGCAAGGATGAAAGGCAGCGAAGCGCGACCCCAGCCATCCAGCTCCGCAGGGGTTGTTTTCCCCTTAGAAAAACCTAAATTATACAGCAGAGTGTCTGTGAAACAGTTAAATTGACGAGAGCTAGGCAAATCTAAGCACAGTAGGTGAGAATATTTCACTTTAGGAAGGGAAGAAACCGGGCGGGTGCAAGGCGAGAGGCAAGGCCCCAAAGCGCGATGCCACACGCCATCTTGTGTCAGGCCGTGGGAGCAGCTGGATGCTCCTGCCCCAATTTCCAGCCTTCTGACGTCATTTCAGTGCTGGGGGACGAGGGGGGGGGGTTGTTTGTTTTTCTCTACATCCCAAACATTGCAAAAATAGGAAGCTGTGGCTGTGTGGGATCTGGGGTTTGTCGTGGTGGGCGCAGCAGTTGTGCGTGTGTATGGTCAGCTGCTGGTGCTTGGGTTTGTCTCCTGTGACCACAGTGGTATGGTTGGACATCACTGGACAGGATCTGGACATGAACTGGACATGGAGAGCTCTGCTGAGGGCCACAGGTTGCAGAGGTTCTGGTCTGTGCTGGCCCCACAGCCTTCAAAGGGTGTCCTGGGACAAAACGCAGTCACGGGTGCGTGTCTGAGGCTCATGTGTAGCTTGTGGCTTTGTTTCTGGGGGGGCTCAGCCCCGGCTTTTCCTTCGCTGGAGCACAGAAGTGTGGTCAATCCCCATTGTGGTTATTCTTGCTGAGTTTACCATGCCGTCTGTGGGATTTTGGAGGCACTAGCAGGGAGCAGAGAGACAGGGACTCAGACCGGAGGGCAGCGCAGCTGCTGCCCGTGCCACTTTGGGAAGCAACGGGGCCAGATTTACATTTATTTTCCTACATATTGCCAATTAGCATGTATATTCCTGCAGGTGATAGAGATGTCTGCTTGGCTTTTCCAAATAAACCCAGGTGAATGAGAAGTAATAGAAATGAATTTGCTTTCAAGTTCCTAAATGCTGCTGGCAGCTGTTATCCTTATGCATCAAACTACCTTTGAAAATCTATCTGTGACGACTCGGAGCAGCCCCTTGCTCCCCAGGGTCGTGGGGAGAGCCTGGCCATCATCTGTGTGGCCTGAGCTGAGCTCTGCTAGGGGGGTTCAAGGCAGAGACCCAGAATTCAGAGAGCAGCAAATTGAGGGGAATTCAGTCCCAAATCGTCTAGGTTTCCAATAAGAATAGCTTGTTTGAAGGTATCACTGCAATGCGAAGTTACAGCTTGTTTTTCCCCCCATGTATATTAATCAATATTGTATTTCATCTGCTATTTTGTCATCTTGTCACTTGGTATTACAGTGTCCTTCTACAGCTCCTCTGTTGGCTTGTCTTTTTGCAGTCCTAAATGACTTGGTATTGACAACGAAGCTGGTAACCTGCCTCTCCAATCCCTTTCCAGATCATTTCCATTAAGCAGCCCAGGCCATCGTACATGTCCCCAGGGGACTCTGCTGATGACTTCCCTTCATTATGAAAGCTGACCTTTCATTCTCACCCCCTCTTTCCTTTGTTTAACCAGTCCTTGGCTCAAGAGACTGCTTTATGTCTCACTACAGGACAGCTAAGTTTCTTTAAAGATCTTGGGTGAGAACTCCCCCCAGAGCTTTTCCGAAATCCAAGTCAGCTCTATCAGCTGGACCATCTCTGTCCTCATGACTGCTTCAAAGAGTTACAGAGCACTGCTTCACCCCCATGAAGTTTGCAGACTAGACTCTTCCTTTTTACACCACACTCATTCATCTGGTGAGTTTTGTTCTCTTTTACACTTTCTACCAGACTTGCTGAGTTCTTGTGACCAGTTCCCGGGAAACCTTTTCTAAAATTAGCCCCGTGTTTGCCACCTTCCAGCCCTCCGGTCCTGCAAAGAAGCAAGCAAAGGTTATCCGCTGCAGTTAATAGTTAAGCAATTTCTTATGTGAGTACTTTTACCCTTGGGTGAATACCATCTGATTCTGGAGATTTATTACTGCTATTTTTTTCTTTATTTCAAGCAGTAGTGGAAGTAATGTCCTTTACGCATGTTACAGTACCCACTTTGATCTGAGCGTGCTAGGAGTGGAGCAAAGGAGGAAAAGAAGGTACAGACTCCTTAAGGGGTAGTTCCTTTTCATGCCAGTTAATCCAGTCCAACTACCGTGTCATCGTGCCAGTTTAAGGTGTAAAAATGCTCTCCCTCCTCCCTCTTTTCCTCATTCTCTTTTCCAGCCTCCTCCTTTCCTCCTGCATTTCTTGATTTCACTGTGACAAATGAGAGGGTAGGCATTGCCGGGTGCGACGAGACCCATGGGCCTTTGTGTCCTGTAACCCCCATGCAGAGGTGGCACCACGGAGGGTTGTCTGAGCAGAGAGACTGATAGACCCAGAGTAAAACACCAAAACTGGAACTTTCTGGCTGAAATCTGAACTGCAGAGCAGCCTTTGCGAGACCTTCCATTGAGTTTCTAAGCTCTTGGGCCTGAATGTCATATCATTTGCCCAGCCATAAATAGCTGTGAATTAAGCAGGCTGTGCTGCTTTTTTGGCTAACAGATATGTCCAATAATGCTGCAGTGTTATCTTCATATCCCACTGGTGTTTGCATTGTAGATCAGGAGCTCAAGCTGGCATTTTTTTCAAGATTTAAAGAGCTGGCAGAACATTTATTCAGTTGTGCAACCTCCATTCACAGTATTTCTCAGATCCTGAGCATGAGGCTCATTTTTTGTCCTTTGACAGCCGCTGTAAATCAATAAGGCAGTTGGAGGTCACTTGTAGTCAATCAGTAACCAGAGCCTGCGAAGGGGAAAACACTAAATATTTGGTATAAAAACACAGGCTCCAGGCTCGCAGCTCTGGCTCGGGGTGACGTGCTCACAGCTGAGGAGCAGCAAAGGGCTCTCACTGACTCCAGCAGCTCCCAGCACCCGGGGCCTCTGGAAACCTGGCTCCGCACAACCCTGATGTAGATATCCAGCCCGGCCATAATCTTTTCCTGGCAATTGGCTATATGAGAATTTCACGCTATGTGCACACGGGGCGAATTTCAGTGAACCAGGCACGAGGTGCTTCATGTGGAGGAAGCAGGGCTCGTGTTGCATGGTGCTTGTTTGGTGCCGGTTTGATTCCTTCTTTTTGCAGGAAGCCGTGCAGCAGCTTTGCTTCAGCCACCGCCCTCAGGAGCCCAGGCCCACGGCAGGCAGTAATTCTTGCAGGGGTCCCTTAATTCCCTTTGAAACAAATGGGAGCTAAGCTCTTAAATACCCCTGCCATCTGAATCATGTTCCAGTGGTGTCACCATCTCTGTTTGCTCCTACTTCTGGAGCTGGTTGCCCATCAAAGCTTCTGCCTGACCTCATCTCTGACTCCCACAACGCGAATATTTCCTCTTTCTCAATTTCCTCTTTCCCTTGACCTTAGCTGCTCCAGGGTTTGTGCTGATGCAGGCCCCTACCTCTGAGAATTACGCAGCCACCTCTCCGTGCTTGCTCCCTTGGGGCCCTCACACCCTGTGCTGCCAGGTCCCATAACACGGGCGTGCTCTGTCAGAGGCTTCTCGCCGTCACTTTTTTGCTGGTATTTTGTCCCTCTGCTAATAGAGCTCGGCTGTGCAGATGGTTTGCACAGTAACCTGTGACTCATTTTCAGATCCATGTGCTGGATGGTTTCCATTCAGCTGTAGCAGCAGGGTTTGCAGATCAATGCGTTGCACTTTTCATCGTCACTCCAGACCGGGAGGTGGGCAAGTGGTGCTGGTGCCAGCAGCTCTGTGCGCTCCTGGATCACTCACTGTCTGTGCATTCCTGCAGCTCGAGGGTCCGGCACACCTCCGGCTCCATCCTGAGCCCTGCAGAGGTCCCTGCAGGTCCCTGTCCCTTCTCCCTCTCCTCCCACACATGAGCTCTACCTGCTGCCAAGCTCGGCACAAGTCCCAGGACCTGCAGACCTCCTGCTCTGCCCAAACTCAGTGCCAGCCCAACAAACACAGGTGGGTGTCCATGGAAATGCTGCTGCTCTCCATGCTTGGACACGTTTGACTCAGCTCTGCCCCAGAGGCTGCTGGCCTTTGCCATGTGCTTTGGAGAGGGTCTCCTGCCTCCAGCTCCACCACCATGTGCTTTCCCAGCCTGTGTCCAGGCCAGGAGAGAAATTGAACAGGCTTTTCCCTTTCTCTCACACTTTTGATACAAACTGGCATTTCCATCCAGCTTTCTGACAACCTCAAGGTTGCCTTGAAATATGCACCCTAGAGAACAGGACAGAAAACTGTGTGAACAATGCGAGAGGGATTTTCTGATCAGGAGCTCCGTGCAAGTACCTATTAGCCTTGCAAGGGCTTTAACTACATCCTTCAGCGCTTGGCCCTGTGCGTGTGCTTTCCTCGGGCTGGCTGACTGGTCAGACTTGAATTTTAGGCTTCTTAAAGGTTTAATAAGAGGCTGAACTAAAATATTAGCTTCAAGTGGCAAGCTAAGCTCTTCAAGGTCAGAAGGTGGTGAGGCTCTGCTCATGGCAGCCCTGTGCCCAGGGGAGGTGCTGCTGGGGTGGCCAGGGATGGATTTCACCCCGAGAGGGGATGCCTATGGCACAGCTCCTTCTGCCTTGGGGAGCAGCAGTTCTCAGACTGCATTTAGACATAAGCACGGTAATGTGCTTGCTGGAAAAGCCATGCATCAGCTACTTTTTGCTCTCAGCAGCTTTTGCATCCCAGCTCTTCTGGAACAACCGGGTATGTCTCCAGAGCCGCTCAAACACTCCCACACTTGCAAAATCCTTTAGCTTCTGGAAGAAAGAACCATATAAAGCCAGTCTTTATTAAACCTCCATGTTCCAATGCCTCGGCGTTGGAAAGCGTGGCAGGAACATACCACTTCCTACAGCTTCCTTGTATGACAGATGCCACGGCCTGGGCTCGGGGCAGTGGGACTGGCACCTCTTGGCCCCAGGAAGGAGTTGTTATGAGATACAGGCAAATGTTATGAACCTTTAATTGGCGTTTTTCTCACTTACGCATAGGAAAGGTGCAACACAAAAAGCAAGTGGGTATTTTCTTGGTCAGCAGTCTGATCCAGGCTCCTCTCCCTCCCACCCAGCTTCTTCCAGAATTACACACGTAAGCAGAGATTTAGATCAGTTCCTGTTGCTGGAGCATGTTGGATGCAGCCCAAGCCCAGACCACCAGGAGAGAAGCCCAACCCTCTGCCTCCTTGGGGTCCCTGCCCATTGCCTGGCTGCTGAGCCCAAAACCCACCATGAAAACTGGAGTAGGGCTCCACTTTTAACTTCTCAATTCACCTTCCCCACTCTTAGATTTCTTTCCTGCAACCCCTGACAGTTGCAAAACACCCGATGTGTGCAAGCTTTGGGGATGTAGAGGCTTGTATGCGATGCTGAAGTGCAACATCTGCTTCTTTCATCTCCTTCTGCCAGCCCTTATCATACATGGGTGCGCAGGAGCGGGCAGGGCCCCCAGCCCACCCGTTGGATGTCAGCATGGAGCAGTGCTCACTGCACCTCCCTCAGCTCCCTGAGGTGGGGCTGGGGGCTGCTCCAGCCCTCGGTTGCTTTCTGTGCCATGGTGGGCACTGCAGTGACCCAACCAAGAGGTGCCTTGGGTGAGGTGACCCACCCCAACCAAGAGGTGCTATGGATGAGACTCACCGTGTAGCCCTCACGTCCCACTTTGACGGGCAAGGACATTCCCCAGTAGAGGCAGGATTTTTCCAGGATCAACCTTTTCTTTATTTAAGGATTTTTACATAGGCAAATGTTACATTTTTGGGACACACAAATGTTAAAATGTGTATATGCAAGCTCACACCCACAGCCCACACCGTCTTTCTTGGGGTTTTTATTCATGCACATATGTACAGTGGCCTAGCACAAAATGTTTTCCATCATTTGAAAGCATGCCCTAAAAGGCTCAAATTGATAAATATCTTTAAACTGTCTACTGTGTGTGTCCGTGTCTATGCATTTGTGCTTCACTGGCTTTGTGTCTGTGCACGTGTGAAAAGTCTGCAGACTGTGTATTGCACTTTTCTATTTTGGATTTCATTTTGCTTTTATTTTACTTTCTCGCCTATAAAAACAGGCTTTCTGATGAAATTAAGCAATAAATCACTGCATGTGCTCAGATGGAAAGGATTTTCAAAAGCAAAACAGCTGGCAGCACACTGCCATCCTCCTGCCTTGCTCTTTGTGTGATAGACAGACAATATATTGATTAAAACGAAAATAGGAAAGTGCAATAGAATAAGGGTGTTCGCTGACATTGTTCTTATGACAGAAAAGTAATTTCAGGGGTGAGAGTGTGCCTTGGGCTTCTACACGGACCTGTTGTCCTGGGTTTAGGATAAAGGGAGTTCTTCAGTGGGAAGTTTTCTCAGGTAAGGATTGCCAGCAGGTAGTAGTTGCCATTCAAAAAACGAGGTACAATCCAAAGGAAACTGCTAGGAATTAAAATAAGCAAATTCATAACACATAGATTGGTTAAATGTGCGCAATTGTAAATACAGACAATAATTTACAGGCTTTTCTCGTGAAATATATTAGTGCTGCTATGAGGAGACAAGAGTGTGACTTACTTATAATGACTTACCATAACATTTCCATACTGTAAATGAGACAGATTAAGTTGACATTATATATTACTTAGCTGTGTACCAATTAACTACACAAATGCTATGAATTCCGTCATTTATGATGGAAGCTATATAAAAATTGTATAATTACTGCAGTGAGTCATCTAGTTAAATGGCATTCCTATATGGACAAATTGATTTCAATGCAAGATTAATAGCCTTTTGCTGCTGTCTTACGTGCTTGCCAAAGACCATACTACATTGTTGCTAAGCATCATTAATGGATTAAAATAAGGGTTCTGCATAATTCCTACACTGTATCTTCAAACAGCTCGTTTAGTTTGTGCACTAGCCTAGCGCTTGTTAGCCCTACATAACACACAGGTCTGGGAGGCTGACACGTGTGCAGGAGGTTAATGTAATCCTAAGAACTCTTTCAAAAGCTCGCAGGTTTTCTTATGGATGACTTCGCGGAGTTTCCGTACACGCCGGATGCTGGAGGTCCCCACAAAGCTGTCTGGCTGTAGGACAGCCATGCCATTGTGGACGTCTCCCATGATGATGAGCTGGCCATCCACTGTGGTCATGTTGGGACACGGGCAGCTCCAGTCCATGTTCAAAAGCGTGATTTCTAGTGGTTCCTTCCCCAGGAATTTTAATCCCATTTTTTCATCTTTGAGAATCTCCTCCACTGTCACCAGGGCGTGTCCTGAGTCTTGATCTTCGGTCAGTTCTGTGATGCGGCCCAGGATAACAAAGTCGCTTTTGCAGAAGCTGGTCACCAGCTTCTGGCGTGGCTTGCAGGCTTTGCAGTGCGTGTTCTTCGGGAAAGGGCACATCTCTTCACAGGCCTCCCGGCTCTCAAAGTTGTTCTCGTTACCTCCGCACCCGCCGTAAATGAAGGACTGGCACTGCTTTGTCAGGCTGTTGTAGGCCCACCTGGGCTCGTAGGCTTTGCAGTGGCCTTGGAGGGCTGGCAGATTGCAAATGTTGATCGGGCCGTTCATGCACGTTAACATACAGTTCTCATAGGTCTCAAAGTGGTTGAGGTTGCTGTTACAGTTCCCGTAAATGAAAGTAAAGCAGTTGTTTTTCTTTGCGTCATAGTACCACCTGGTCTGCTCTTCTCCACAGTCTTCGCTGTCTGGTTGCTTCAGGCACTCATCAGTTGGAAAGTGTGTTTTGTTCTGGGAAGCTTCTTTGGATGTGGGTTCTCCTTTGATGACTGACAAAGGGAAATCAGCCCTGAGAAGGCCACCGCTGTTTTTGGCCGTGCAGGTGTAGATGCCTGCGTCTTGAAGCTGGGTGTTGTAGATGACCAGCTGGGCAATGTTGGTGACCACAACATTCCCTCTGACGTGATTTGGCTTCATGATGACTTTTTCTTTCCCATCAACCTGCTTCTCCCATGTGATTTCTGGCTTGGGCCTTCCTGTAACATCGCAGAGGAAGCTGACGGTCTCTCCCACGTAGACAGACTGATGGACGGGGTTGTTCACGAGAGCTGGCGGCAGGATGTCGATGATCGTTGTCTCAGAATAGGCGGTGGTAGGGCGAGCTGTTGTTTCTGCAGGGATAGGGCTGGTGTTCGGCCAGGTAAGGTGGTATCGACAGGTGACTACGTTCAATGTGATGCCCTTGATGCAAGCTTCTGCATCCATGTAGCACTTGTTGTAGTAGGTGAGCCCGTCGGAGGCACAGGTGAAGCTCGGCTCCTTCTCACACCTGTCCTTGCACTTGCACACGGGCTGCCCGTCCCAGATGTCGCACTCTGAGCCTTGCTGGATGCACATGAAACGGTCACAGGTTGCCTCTTTGGGCATTCCCACCGGCCCTTTCTTGCCCTTGACGTCCATGTACCGAGCCGCCACGCAGCTCTTTGTCCCACAGACATTGGGACAGCACTTCTCAAAGGTCTCGCATTCCTGCAGGGTAAGAAAACAACACAATTACTGGGGACAGAGTTAAGTCCTCTTTAGAGACCCAGCAAGCAGAGACCCCTGAAACTTTTAAGGTTTCAAGCTCAGTGGACCCAAGTCTGTCACTTGATCCCAGACTTGGTGTCCCCACCAGCAACAAGTGTAAACCTCTCCAGCATCTCCCAGGAGGTGGCTAACCACGTTGGGGGTTCTGAAGTGCTTCAAGAGAAGCCTCTAGAGAAGGAAAAGGTATTGCTATTTCTTAAACACTAACCACATCATAAGTCTTTCCTAGAGTCACATGGACTGCTCGACTACAGAACTAACAACCCCCCTTCGGCACTCCAAAATGCCTGAGGACAAGCCCTGAGAAACAAGAGCGGATGGAAAGACTTATCATATGGCTGTAGGCAGTAATCCTTCTTATTTTCCACAGAAGTATGTAAAGTATTATTTGAATTCCCTGAGACTAACAGCCTACTCTTGGAGGTGAAACTGCCAAGGATTTGTAATTGTTCACATTGTAGAGGAAATAATAGAATACCTCAAAAGTAAGGAAATTCTTGATCCAAAAATATTTTTTCTATGGTATTTAGAAAAACAAACCCCAAACAGCTCATTATGGCTTCTCTGTCCTATTTTAGTCCTATTTTCAAATGCAGCATCGCTATTCTAGTAATTTATTACACCCCATCTTAGCTACAGTCAGCTCTAAATTGTGGTTAATTTTAGGAGAATTCTTGTCTTCTCTACAGAAAAGGTATTTGATATGTGTCCACTGAATCACAGCATCCGTTTCATTAGGGATTACTTTAAGGGACCATGAACATTGCTGCCATGTACATGACAGGGCACGCTTCCACCTTCTGTTAAACATCTGCAACCCCCTGAAATCCAGCGGATTTCTCTGTAAGTGAGAACAAAATGTTTTTTAAGCTACCAAACTCAATAGTTTCCCCTGAGTCCAGTATCCTTTCCTTATTGGGAAAAAGATGACCTAATACCATAACTCTTTCCCTATTTCCAGCTGCACATTACTAGGTTTCAGAAGCAAAGTTGCAAAACGGTTTCAGCTGAGGTTAAGGAGCATGGTTTAGCAAAGTCAGACTCCTGCATGTGAGTTCCCAGGACTCTGCTCAGACAAGGCTAAAGTGAGTATTTTTATCCAGTGGCTTCTGGCTTTCAGGTTTTGACCAGTAAATTATTAAAGCAATGTCCTCTGCTGCTGCTGGGTTTTTACAAGTCTTTTAATATTCATTGCTGCACCTGGTAGTTGAAATAAAGAAGGCTTTATCGGGACTGATGAAAGTAAAAAGAACACCTTCGTTCATAACACATGGGATCCATTGGAGAAAATCTCTTCATTTACTAGATGAGCCTCTTTCCCTCTTTTTTCTTTCTTTTTTTTTTTTTTTTCTTCTCCCCACTACTTCTAGCACTGCAGAAACAACATGGCTGTAGAGCACGAACCAAATGACTTCTTTCTGCACGGTACGTGTGGCAGTCAGCCTGCTTTGGGCTGCAGGAGCATTGCCGTTGATGTAAGAGGCAGGAAGAGCAGGTATTTTCAGATGCCAGCTTGAGCTGGCAGTGCTGACAGGTTGAAAAATGTTTTTTAGGGTGGTAAGCTAAGCACAATTTGAGCTGGGAGCATCACAGAGAACATCTGCTTGGTCATTTTAACCATGCCCCTGTTCTGCACTCTGAGCACGCTTTATGTTTCAAAGTGCAGAAAGGGCTGATGATTTAAATGTTAAATCAAATGATTTCATACAGAATTCCCCCCCCCCCCCCGGAATATAAAGCATTGATGATGGCTACCGACAATAAAGAACATCGTGACACTGCTAAAATACTGTGGATTGGCCCCAAGGCATGCTGAGTTCTGGAGTATCAAATTCTGATGTTTCCTTTGACAAGAAAGCAAAGAAAATGATCAAACAGAGTGCCTGCCGTACCCACAGCAGCATAAGTGACAGCTGCCACACACCTCCCCGCTTAACTGATAATTCATCAAACCTTTTCTATTTTATATAGGTCACGGGTCAATTAAATGCGTGCATTGTCTGGATCAAGTCCAGCACGGTGCTGGTTCCTTGCTACATGGAATAGAAAGAGACCGTGGTGCAAGCAAGCAAGTTCACCACCAAAACCCACCGCCCGCACCGCAGAGATACAGAAATGTGCATCACTCACCAGGTCAGCTTCGCACTCCCTCTTGCAAGTGCTCTGCGCGTCTACCCACAGGTTGGGGTTCATGTCATTTGGGCATATCCCCGCGTGTGAATACCGTATGGGAGGTAAAGCTCTCCCTTGCAGAGAGACCTCCAGAAGCAACAGGACGCTGCTCTTCCCCAGCAAGATCCACATCCACCGAGTGAACGGCGCCAACAACATCTCAGAACTTCTCCAGGGCAGTGGCAGTGACCAAGCTGGAGGTAGTTCTTGTTTGCCTGGGGTTGCTTGTTTTGGTGAGCCTTAAATTTTTGAGGAACCCAAATGCACCTGACTTCTATAAAAGCTTCAGCAAGCTCCTTTGCTGCCTCTCCTGATAGTGCAGCTTGGTCTGGACCTCATTGGATTAAAGGTCCTAGGAAGTTACCCCCTTATTTTAAGAGAAATGCTAATAGTCTGAGCAGAGTTAGCTCTATTTATACCCTGCCTCTGTTAACAAGTCAGAAAAAGTAAACTTGATTTCTTTGACAGGCACACGCTTCCTATGTCCTGGTGGCAGTCAGACAGATTTGTTGCAAGAAAAAAAAGCTGGAAAGAGTTTAAAAGGCTGGAACTGGCACGGTGGGACCCCTGCATGTTTCTGAATGCAGGGAGGCCTTCTTAACCCCTTTAGACCTAAAGTACTTCCCTATGCTAAGAATGGCATTTACTTCTGAAAGGGTACTTGTCTAAGTAACAGGGACCCACGATCAGGGGATTTCCCCACGGCAAGGGGCTACACAATCACTTGCTAAAGGGAACAAGTAATAGGATTGAAGCAATTAAAGCTAGAATATCATATTTTAACAAAGGAAGCAGGGAAGAAATAACTTATTTAAACTTAGAATCTGCAAAGCAGAATGTCTTCATAACCCCCCCCGGCGCTCCTCCGGGCTTTTTTTTCTCTGTGGTGTGGAGATTTCCAGGATGCTGCTTTTACTGCTGCCCTCCAACCCCACCAGCAAGATGTTAAAAGTGTCCCTGAATTCCTCCACATTTCCTGACAGCGAGATCCCGTCATACAGTGCATTGCTGACCCCTTTAACGGCGACAACAAAAAAAATAGTAGAAGTTCAACTCTATGGAAACCTGCATAAAGGAATGTACAGCATTTTTGCATTGGGGGGTGGAGGGGGGGGGGGGGGGTTGGAAATTCAGTCAAGCTGAGTTTGTCGTTCCCTGATTATTACAGCAAGGGGCCGATCCTGTTTGTGCTGAACACTTGCCAAAATGCAGAGGCACACGGCAGAAGCTCAAGCTGCTCAGCACCTGGCAGGATTAGAGCCTCTGGGCTGAATTCTGGGCTGGCTTGGCCGGATCCTGCTGGGTGCCCAGGGCCTCCTGGGAGGACCAGGTGAGTTTGCATCCCAAGAGGGGTTCAGGAGGGCCGGGTTGGCAGCGCTGCTTCAGGAGAAGGGACCATGTGGGATGCACGACCCCTTTTCTACTGGAGTTACTCATGTAGGGCTGCTTTTTGTGGCTGAGCATGGGCCCAGTTCTGCCCAGTGGTGGTGTCAGCAAACCAGTGTGACCAGCAGCTGCCGTGGACAGGCCTAAATGCAGGCAATGCCCCAGGAACCGGGGTCCTGCTCCTCCCTGGTGCATTTACCTGCCAACGTGTCCCAAGAACATCCTCCAAAAGGAAGGGCGAGCAACCCAAGAGAATCTTCCCCCAGCTCTGGCATTTCTGTGGCACCCCAGGCTCATGGCAGAGGCTCAAGCAGTTGGGATTTATGTGACCGCAGGAACGATATGCGCAGCATTTGCATTTCATATGATGTGCGGAGAGCAGTTGTCCAAATTAGCTATGTATAAAGAGTGAAGTCAACCACCAGGCAGCAGTTTGCAGTTGATTTATTCTCTCTGAAACTTTAGAAACCTGCACGACACTTGTACAAAGTGCGGCTGTGCGCAAAATGTTTTATTCAGTACTTGTTTACAAAGACAAGCGCAGCACCCTGCGATGCCTAAAAAAGCCAACCCAAAATGACACATTCCCAAGAGGTACTTAAAATTCTTACAGCTCTATTAACAACAAAATCACATGTATTAGTGGTTCTGTTGACTAAACAAAGACACTTTATATTGTACGACTGACTACAGACAGGCTTTGAAACCAGCTGTACGTGGGTCTGGCCGCGCGCGGCTGTCCCGGCGCTGGAGGTGGTGATGTCCGGGGGGGTCTCATCGACAGCTGCTGGGTGTGCAGGGGATTTGCCCTTCGTCCATGGGGCTGCCACCATACAGAAGTAATTTTTTTCCCTGCCACCCCCACCAGGGTCCTCTGGGGCTGTTTTACCCCCTTGCCATGATGGGCCAGAGGTGGGTCTGCAGGCAGAGCTCTGCGGCCTGGTGCCACAAAGCCACCTCCTCTCCATGCTGACAAGACACCCTGAGGGTCCACCGCAGGTGGGACTTCCTTGAAGGAGGAAGGAATAACACTGTCTTATTTATTTTTCACTTCCCAGACTGAGGATGGGTTGCCCAGAGGCACTTTTCAGCCATGGGGGAGCAGAGCAGGGCTTTGAAGAAGCAGTCGCAGGCTCATGGCATGTGAAGGGAGCAGTCCTCTGCTTTGCTACGGCCGCCTCCATCCTGATGGATCTTCTCCAAGGACAGGTAAGCCCCCTGTGGCTTTCTGCTTTTGGTACTTCATTTTCATATTCAGCATGTGCTGGCCAGGCTGGTGGAGCTTAACGGGGGCTGGTTAACCATGGAGTCACAGAATGTGTTGTGTTGGAAGGGACCTTAAGGAGCAGATGCATGGGACATGCGCTCAGCTGACTGAATTGTGTCCCTCTTGCAGATCAGTGGTATCATTCAAGGAAAGGCCACCTGAATGTCTAGATTTGAGATATTGTCACCCCAATGTTGGGTCAGCATTTGGCACAGTTGAGAGCAGCAGGGACATTCCATAGGAGCCTGGATGACTAAGAAAAAAGGTAAAGAAATTATCCTTAATGATAATGATGGTTTTGTTGGGTCACTGTAATATTATATACGAGGCACAGGAAATTCATGTTAACTAAGAAATCAGGCTTTCAGTAAACCTTTTTCATAGGAAGCTTCTTAGGGAGTCAAATCCTGCCTTAATCCAATGGAAATGGGACAGGTGCTGTGCCCCCTCCCACCACTCCAGGAACAGGGAGCACTCAGCCCTGGAAGGATCTGTCCCTTGGCCACTTGAACCCTGCCAGCAGAGAGAGGACAACAGCACCATAAATCCCTCCGTGAATGCCGCCAGGCAGCTCCTGATGTCAAAGGAGGCTCCGAATAACCCTCGCCAGCTGTCCCATCCCAGCCAGGATGTCACAGAAAGGCTGCGACACAGCCACATCCTGGAGGTGACACCAGCATGTAGACAACCCTGGGACAGCAGGGACCCCAGCTGTCCCAGCATAGGTTGGGAGGCTGATGCCCTTGGTGTCTTCTGGGTTTCACTGAAGGCTCACTTCTCACCTGGTTTAAATTAGGGTAGCTGCACAGTGGATCTGACTGGGTACTGCAGGACAACACCAGCTTGTGACAGCTGTGAATCAGAGACTGTCAAAGTGCCTGGGCATAGTTTTTCTGTTTTTTTCTTGTTTATAAAGTATCACGCATTTTTTTTCCTTTAATATAAGAAATAAAATAATGCTTGTGCTCCGTTTCTCTAAACAATTCTGTTATGATCACTGAATTTATGGTTTATCTTGGCTTATGGACTCGGTGCCAGATACTGCTGTGAAAAAGCTCTTCCTAAATTAATTCACACCTTAGAAGAAACCCCGCTACTGCCCCAAAATCACCCTTTCTGATCAAGGTGTTGATCTGAGGCTGTTGGATGGGCACCTGGGAAGAGCTTCCTTTGGCTCTCCCATGGACAAACCTGAGCCCTGGTGGCACAAAGCATTGACCCTGCTCTGTTCCCAGTGGTGGGGACACATGGCACCCATTTGACCCTACACCACAGCCCTGAAAACCCTCCCAGGACACACAGCCTCCTGGTTAAGGCTGTTGATCTAGACTTGCCTTAACTGTGCCTATTTTAATTAACGATAATTTCTTTGTCCATTTTCTTGCTCTTTCTAAGCTCTGATGGGATGTCCCTACCCCTCTCTGCTGTGCCGAAGGCTGCCCCAGTGTTTGGCGTGGCCCCTTCCAACTGAGGAGGGAAATGGGATTCTCTGATGCACAAACAAGTATAATTGTGGTGTTGCTGCTTTTTTTTTTTTTTTTTTTTTTTTTTTTTTTTTCTTAAACCACTGCTAAAGGAACAGTAAACTGTTGATGATATTTATTAGGCAAACTGAGCAATCCTCATCTGGAGTTACTAAGCGGACGGCGGATAAATGTGCTGGTTTTATTGTGGAAGGGCTCTTGGCAGGAGCTGCCACCCTGCAATGTTCGACCTCCCATCTCCCATTGATCTCTGCCTCGGCGAAGGGGCCCTTGCAAATTCGGCCTCTCGTGCTGTCTGGGCCGGCCGCCACTTGACGCCAGCTCTGCCAACACAAACACAAACCGCCCCCTCTCCAGGCACGGCTGCGATCCAGCGCTGCCGCCTGGTCGCTTGCTTGCCGCAGCTGCGCCATTGAGAGCCCCAACGGGAGGGTTTGGCTGCCTCGGGAGCACGGTCCGTAGGGATGGAGCCCTCAGCTCTGTGGGTGCAGCCTCGGAGGGCAGCGGGGTGCTGGGCTGGCTCCTGTCCCTGCCCCGAAGGAGGGAGCTGGCTGGGCTGGAGCCATGAGACTCCGCTTGTGAGACCTGCCTCAAGCAAAGCCTGGGCCACCGGTCCCACACAGGGCATCCGGGCACAGCAGGGCTGGTACCAAGTCCCTCAGACAGAGGACTAACACCTGCCCCACCTGCAGGGACCCTGAGCACACAGGGAGCCCTGGGGCAAGCTCTTCTGCAGCCCCACCACCACCAGTCATGGGCATCAGGTGGCTTTTGTCACTGCACAGATGCTAATGTAATAGAAAGGAAAAGTTGTTTTTAAAAAACTGCCTCATTTAGAAAGTAGCAATGTTCCATTCTGTATATAAAGCTTACTGCATTTAGGGTGGATAGCCTGACATTTTAGAGGGAACGTCCTCGCCAGATCCCCTTTGGAGCACAGCAGCCGACCTCTTGCCTCTAGCAGTAATGCTGCTTCCAAGCCCACGTTGAAATCCAGAGGATGACTCAAGGACCTCAGCTTTAGCTTGCTTTAGCTTGTAAAGGGCCAAATCTCCCCCCTTAAGTGCTGCAGCACTCCCTTAGCTCCACCAGGACCTGCTCAGAGCCTGGCCTATTGGGGTTGCCCAGGGAGCCCAGCCTGGCTGCACACTGCATGCGGCCACTTCAGGGCTTGAGGCCTCGCAACTCCTCCATGTGCCCTGTGCTTGAGCTGCACCTTTGTGTGAAAGGGGGCAACGAGCAGCCACCACCCCACAGCGACAGCCCTCTGTGCTGCCTCCTTCTCCCCCAGAGCAGCTTTTCGCCTGCCTTAGAAGAGCACATCTCGTGCTCGCCCTGGCCATGAGGCTGGCCGAGCCAGCAGGATTTTCTTCCCCACGTGAGGCACCTCTGAACATCAAAGCAAAGGCAAAGGCTGAGATACGCAGAGAACTCTGGAAGCACATGCACATGAGCAGGGGCAGATTTGGGCTGAGGGGAAGCAATGGTGTGCCTGGGTCCTATTTTCGGAGCTATTTGTATGTGTAATTAGCAGTGGAAGCATATTTCAGATTCCCCCTAGTTAAGATTTTTGTCAGCGCTCCCTGTAAGCGCCCATAGCTAACAAGAGCTGTTCTGACTCCTGAAATAACCCATCTGAGCAGATAACAACGTGTAAGGACGGGCTCGGGGAACCAGGACATATTTAGAGCAGCGATCGCTCACCGAAACGAGCCGCTGTATCTGTGCATCCCGCCTCATGCGCAGATGCTCAGTAAGCAGAAGTTAATGTAGTTAGACAAAAGGGCTTAGTTTGGGGGGAAAAATCAATAATGTTAGGGAGTTTATTACAGGGTTATGGGCCACCTGCTAGAACTCTGCATTAGGCCTGCATTACGTTGTGTTTCAGTGCGAGCTGATGGCATTGCTCTCAGGCGAGGCTAGTGCCAGAATTATTATTTTATGCCTCAGCAGATGGCTTCTGCTCGGGGGTTTTATCTTTGAGTGCAGACATACGACTAATCATCATTTGCTTTCTCTTTCTCTGCTAACGTAAGCTGGGCAGGAAGCAATTGCCAGTTTGATGATGGTTCATTATTGCTAGGTTTATTCTGTCTGAAACAGCACAGTGAGAGGCAAAGAGGGTACAAAGGCAGATAATCAACCGGTTATCAGTGAGATATGTGGAAAGGCTGGGCGCAGGAGCCTGCCCTGTGCCGGCCTGTCTCCCTTGCTCTACCAGAAGCAATGCCTTAGGTATCCCACAGGCAGTTCAGGCAGGCTATGGAATTGGTGTCTGGGTTGTGTGAAGATTGCAAACATCAAATGCTGGGAATTAATTCATCCTGCTGTCCATCAGGAAGGTTAGCTTGAATAACAGCACGTTGGGAAACGCCACCACCAAATCCATGGTGTGCAAATGGGTGGAGATATTCCCACGTCTTGCAGCACTGCTGTTCATGCATAAGCCATGGTGTGCTATCCTCGGAGGTGAATCAGTACATTTGTGGTTGCTGCTGATCTTCAGTTTTTCTTGTTTTCAGTTCTGTTTGAATGAAAATTCAGAATAAAAGTGCCGGTACGGGCCGCAGGCTGGGTGCTCAGCACATCTTTCACCAAAGCACGTGATGTTCCTCCAGGAACGTGAGTTAATTTAGTACCACGTGTACTGCTGTAGGAGGCTAATGAATACTATTAAACCCATTGCACAGATTCACTCCAGTCTGCAAATGACCCTAATTCAACTGCCCTTATTTATTTTAAGGAATTTAAAGCCGGGAGGAAGTCACTTGCTGAGAATCACACAGCAGCAGCCATGAAAGGCCGCAGTCCGAGACCCTGCTTCTAGCCCCACGGGCACCATTTGCTTTTCAAAAGGCTAATTCAATATAGAAATGTCATGTTGCTTTTGTTTGTGATGTGAGTCAACTTATGCAAACAGTAAGGTTTTAACCCGCTGTGCAAATGCTGTTACACTTTAATTTAACTCCCCCAGCTCTCATGTTTCCTCCTTGAAAGCCCAGAGTTTCTCCTGGTTTGTACCGCAAGCGTTAATTCCCATAGCGTGAAGGCACCAGCTCACCATCACTCTGAGCTGCTCCTTTTGGAAAGTTTATGAACCTTTCAGCAGACTGAGCCGAGAGTTTGTAAGGTGAAAGACAACTGCTGCAAATTTGCTTGCTTTTGTGCTGCAAGAAGTCAGCTCCAGCCGAGCAAAGACTTCACCAAACCACTGAATGTGCAGCAGTTTGGAAGCCCTCACTGTGGCTGGGAGCCCCTCCAGGAGATGCAGCGCAGCTCCCAGCGACTGGGCTCGCCATCAGGCAGCGGCCGCTGGCTTCACCAGACAACCTGGAAGTCCCAGAGCTCCTCCGAGGGTTTGGTATCCAAAACTTAGCTATAAACAATAATTAATTCTCACAAAATGGAGCTATTTCCATTTCTGCAAAGATCATGAAAGCCTTTTAGCGTCAATTCCGTCTTCATGGAATTTAAATCTAAATTAGGACAAAAATCTTTTTAACTGAGGACTTATTGCCTTCATTTGGCTTTGCTGCTTGTCCGCGGTCCTGGCTGTGGCTCTGCTGGTCGAAGCTCAGCCAGGAGCAGCCAGCCCCATACGTGGGGAGCTGGGCATTTTGGCAGCCCTACTGAAAGGTGAAGTGCTCGGCTTCAGCCTGCAGTGCCCTGCTTCACCGCCAGCTCCAAGACATTGTGTGCACTCAGCAGAGCCCGAATCCAGATGAAGGCCATAGGAAGAGCAAATCTCCGCTGGGCTGCTGACACCACTACTGGAAATGCCCAAAGGTGACTAAGTGCAGCTCTGGTATAAGCAGGGTGCACATCTCCTGGCATTCAGCTGGCAGCAGGTCCGAATGCAGGCTGGAGATTTTACAAGCGCTGTCTGCAAAGCAGCAATGCTCTGCTTCCTTTCATCTTCCTAGTACGAGAGACTCCTGCCTGCCCTGGGAACGGGCTGTTTGTCTGCACTGAATGGCTTTTTTCATTGTTGCTCTTTCCCATTTCAGCTAATTCAATGTACATTTTTATTTTAATCTTTTCTTGTTTGTGGCACGACGCGTCCACCTGCAGCCTGCACGCAGCGGGGTTCAGGGAGCTGCAGCATTTTGCTTTTCGACGGCAGCGTTGAAGAAAGATAACCAGCCCTTGATTGCCTGATGTGATGGTGGCTGGCAGAGCGATTGTAGGTAATGGTTAAGAGATTCATGTGGTTTAATTGTTATAATTTTCCTGTCTAAGGAAATTTTCCTTCCTAAGGCCCGCGTGTTGGGCTCATTGTGTTATCTAACCAATTGCTGGGATTGTGTTTTAATGACAGCCGCAGCAGGCCTTCTCTGCGTACTGAGGTACAAAGGAACCGTAGCATCATTAGAGGCAAGTGTTTCAAACGTGCTCTCTAATGGCCTGATTTTTCTCCGATTGAAGGCGATGGTAAATATTCTCCTCATTTCAAAGGGGAGCGGGGTGAAGTTGCAGCCAAACCCTCCTGGAAATCC